AGTTGATTGTATCCTAATGATCTTGAGGCGATTGATGCGTTGGATTAGGGCTGTTAGAAAGGAAGTTGGCATGATGAACAATGAATGTATAACTAATTTATAGTTTTCTAAGTTTGTAGGCCATATTTGATTGGATGTTGATGTTGATCTCGAGGTTTTCATTTGTCCTATGGATTATGTCAAAAGAGGAATTTTTGGCTTTGTAAAGTCTCAATTTGATCTGGTTGTGATTCTAAGTTTTGTGGTCTAAAAGGAGGGTACAAAGAGGTAGGGTGAAGGGACTAAGCAAAAATTAGGTGTTGACACCCATATATATATATATTTTTTTGATAAATAACTTGACACCCATATTTACTAGCCATAATTTCAAGCCTTATTGCAAGCTATTTGTTTTATTGTTCAGTTATATTAGATGTGTTTTGGTAAGTCACCTCAAGAGGCTGATATGGTGATTGGGGGGGGGGGCGCGAACAAGAATGCAGCAAGAGCTAAATTAAATCAATTAGAGATGGTTTTGGTGGAAATTGAGGATTTAGAGGTATTGATGGAAAACAGAGGATTCAACTGTGACAACTCTGTCAGGAAACTCTGTTGGATGTTGAAAGCTGCTGGCAATCAGCAGCAAACCCATGTCTGAAAAGTATCCTCTTTCTCTGAAAAAGTTGCAAAAATCAATCCGCTTTGATGTGAAAAGGAACTATTTATAGGGTTTTCTTGATGTATCAGTGTAAACCTTTCCCTTTTATCTTTGTTGAAACTGATTAACAAAAAGTTTGTGCAGCATAGTCCAAGGATATATTAGAGACCATGGTTCTGTACGATGAACAGGAGGGTTGAGAAGGGACAACTCAACTTTGCGCTTGGTGGTCCTATACATTAAAATGTTTTCCAAAGTGGGAACCGTGATACCTGTAATAATGATATAAAATAATACTGAAATCATTGCATAAACAGATGAAGTCAGTAAGTTAACGTTGATATTACTGAGGCTGTGCCATATAAGATTCGCTTTTGAAAACTATATCTGTGTTGGATGTTTGTTGGTTATGAATCTGTATTAGATAAAATAGACAAGTGTATGTGGATAAAATAAAATAGTATGGCTAATACCATTACAGATGTTATCTAAGATGCTGGGTCATTGAAAGGACCTCCTGTTTTCCTTTATGTTTTCTTTTCTTGTTCAATACTTAATATCATTATATTGCTGAACAGGTGTCCCTATTTCTCCTTTTCCTTATTTATTATTTCTTATTCTAGGGGCCATTTCTAAGTTCAAATCTAGTAGGAACAAAGAGGAAAGCAGCACCCGGCAACCTCCAAAACTTGTCACCTCAACAACCTCTACAATCACATAGTTGCCGAGCCCATCAAAACCAACAAGTGAATCCATCCAGCAAGCTCAAATGCTTGCCACTAAGACAACCACAGCCATCGTGTAGTCGCCATCCCATTCAAAACCAACCTGTTAACTCTTCCAGAAGCCTCAATGTTCTCCGCCACAACAATCTCAACCATCATATAGCTACCAACTCCGCAACCTATTCTGCAAGGTCTGCCAGGTGCAATTCTCAAGTGCGTTAAGTCTCAAGCAGCACCGTCAAGGCAGTGAACACAAGGCCAAACAAAAAGAGCTGGAGGAAAAACGGAAAGATGGTGGAGGGAAAGGCAGCCAGCAATTATGGTGCAAGTTGTGCAGTGTCCCATGCTCGAACGAAATATGCTTCAAGCAACACCTTAGAGGCAAGAAGCATGCTGCTCAGCTCGAAGCACTTCAGAAAGAAAAGAAAACAAGAGAAGAAGAGACAGAAGCTGCAATGGTGAAATGGAGTGCAGAACTGGAATGGGAGACATTTGGATGAAGATATAGGGGAGTGGTTTTTTGCCAGGTATGAAGGAATGGTTAAACAGTTGATAAAATTTCCACTATGGGTCCAAATAAGTAAAACTTCATCAAATGCATTATTTATTGACATTGAAATTTGATGTTTTACCTGATGAGCAATGCCCTGGGTATGGGTTGGTCAACCCCATGCTGAATACAGTGGCTGCTACTGGCTTGTGTACCATGGATCGATCCCTTGCATCCTGTGGCAATTTAATATGTACACGACTAAGGGCACTTCAACACGTGTCATGTCATGGACTTCTAACTCTTGTGCTTGAAATTTATTACTGCTTGTTGCATACAGTAAAAGCATTATGGTCTTTAATGCTTTTCACTGTTGCAACCACTGTAACTTGGCTAATAAGAGGATAAATGTTGAGGGAGGATACTGATTCTAGTTTTCTCCAATCAGGTAGTGTTTCTGCAGTTTCTCATGGATTGCCTGTAAAGTGTCAACCTTGAGCTCTGGATCTTGTGCTGTTATATGCTTTGATTCATGAGATGACTGGTTGCAGGAGGTCCGCACGCTTGGAAGGACATGAGGAGAGGCCCTAGTTGTATCTATCTGCACAGAGAGAGCCATCAATAAAGGGCCACAGCTTGTTAACCACCTATATGGTTCAAAACCAAAAGGCTGAGCAGATTGGATCTTCTTACCGTCTGATCCATGTATATTTTTAGTTAGATAAAATTCATTCTATGAAGAAAAATCTACGGAGAGAGAGACGCTTGACTTATAGCTTCATCTATTTTTCGCTTCTCATTTTGGTGCTGTATTTTGGTTGCCCCTAGAGGCTGCTCTGCTTAATGGTGCCAGCAGGTTCTCTTTTAAAAGGAGATGGAATTTGTCTCATCTATTGCATCTATCTATTCATAAAACATGATATAGTCATTCATTTGAATACGTGTCGGTGAAATACTACAGATACTAGAAAGTTATCTTTACTGGAGAGATCAGAAAATTAGAACTTAGAAATAAAAACAACAACCGAAACTATGGGGTCTGAAGGGCCAACCTATGGGCCTGTGTCTCCTTAAATTGCATGTGGAGAGGAGATTGGACTGACCTTTGAATGGGTGAGTCGTCACTTAAAAAGAGGTAGTTCAGGAATGTGTATTTACTTGGATAATGAAGAAAGAAATTCTATTAGGGTGTGTTTCATTGGTCCTACCTTTTCTTTCAATCCAAACATAACATGGAGTTAACACTCAAAGTATAATTTGCGGGACAGATGTTAAAAAGTAAATCGATCAAGCTGATGGTTTGTATAGCTTCATTGGAAATGTCTTAGGTGGTGTTTGGTAATGTGTTCATCTCGTGGATGGATCATTTAGGTTTACGTCATAAGATGAATTTTCCGTTCGGTTGGTTGTGGATGGGACCAATCCACATTATATTGTGGATCGTCTCCGATTATAGTCCAAGATCTTGGCCATTCATATATCTCGTGGATGTAGCTGATTTATAGTATTTTTACACTATTTTGATACAATACATATCTTTTACATATTTTTCTTTCTTTTTAATTTTTAAAAATTAAAATAATAATTTAAAAAAATTATTTTTTTTAATATTTTATCAGTAAAATGATGGTGTTCATTGTCCATTTTTTTATTTATTTAAATATTAATTTTTAATGTTTTTATCAATCAAATAATATTTTTTAATATTTTTAATTGTTACTATCGTTTTTATTAAAATTAATATTTATTGGTTAATATTAATTTATTGATGCCTTTTTTCAATATATTTATCATATAAAATGTAAAAATTAGACATTTATGATCGACTACGTAGGTCATGCATAAAATGTATATGAAATACATTGAATCAAAAAGTGTGGACTAGTCTAATCCACATAGTCTGAGGATTGGTCCTTGCCATAAGGTGTGGTGTGGATTAGTTGGCACCTACCAATTTCTCATCCACACCCCCTTAGTAACATGTCTTTAATTCTTTGTAGTGTCTTCACAAGGCATGTAATGAATAGCAATTAGTAAACTGTATTGCGAATTATTGGTACAAGAAGCAAGTCTTTTATCGTGCATATTGATTAGGTTGAAAATCCACTAGATCATCTCTGGATGAGACAATTATGGATGTTTTATGATATTTCTGATGAATATATTTGGCTTTATAAAAATAGGAAATTTCCCAATTAGTACCTTGTACTTTGGGCCTAGTGCCACTTTGGTTCCTGATTGGTACCTTGTACTTTGGGCTTAGTGATATTTCAATCCACAAACTTTAAAATGCGACAATTTAGTATCCAAACTTTCAAAACGTGCCAATTTAATACCTATTGTTAACCAACCATTTAATGAATCATTAAGTGGTATTTGAAAAGACATAAGTGCCCTTTGAGTGTTATCTAATTTTCTTTATAAACCATCTAAACATTGACAGAAAATGAATAGTCCCAAATCTTGCCTCTTCTATTCAAAAAAGTTGGGGTCACTAAAATATTTATTGAGACATGACCCCAACTTTCTTGAATAAAAGAGAAAATGATTTGGGACTATTCATTTTTTGTCAATGTTTGGATGATTAATAAAGAAAATTAGATGACACTCAAAGAAAATTTGTCTTTTCAAATGCCACTTAATGGTTGGTTAGCAGTTGATTAACGATAGCTATTGGATTGTCACGTTTTGAAAATTTAAGGCCCCATTTGGTTCGCAGGAATAGGGGTCTGGAATCAAAATCAGAATGAGCTATTCCAATTCCAACTGTTTGGTTGGGTGGAATCGGAATCTCATTCCCATTCCTGTTGGAATGGCATTCCCCCATTTGAGGGAATGACCATTCCCTACCCCTCCCTTGGGCATGAAATCTCATTCCTGCAGATTTTAATTCTCATTTTCATTCTTGTCTGAACCAAACAGATTATGGGAATGGATCATTTTAAAGTTATGCCCAAATTACAAGGTCCTAATCGGAAATTTTGCATATTAGTACCTACTTAACGGCAAATGATGCCCGACTTTATGCAAAGGGGACAGTTCAAGCCCAATAAAAAATGGTGTGCTTGGCTGCCATGCAAAGAGCATATTTTCCTTTTAATCTGGTAAAGCATTTGAACGCACATCTACATTATCTGAAGTAAATGGATAACATTCCAAGACAAGAAAGATCAGAAGTTTGTTTTCAAGAAAATCTCAATAACCTCATTCTGACATGTTAGTTGGTGAAGGGTTAAAAGGATATTCAAAGAATTTCCTTAATTACAACTCTTGCAAGCACAACTGCCAATCCGCTCTTTCTTTTTTCTTTTTCCTTGTCAAAACAAGACATTGTCTTCAATACCATATGGGTTTTCCTGTATGGCAATGTTTCTACTGTATTATGGTAGAAAATTTCTCATGGCTTATTGTGTACAAAAAAAAAAGAAACTTTTTCACCCCCAAAACTTTAGCCTTGTTTCTCAATGAACCTCTTAGCCTTCTTGTAAGCCTTCTTCAAGTGCACTCCAACTCTAATCAGATCCAGTTTAACATTTTGGTTCTTCAGATAGATGTTGGTATTGGACCAAGCTAGCTTAATTACAGCTTCTGGGTTCCTTAACACCAAGTCATCCTTCCCATACTCATCCACCAAGCTGCTCTCGTCCACTGTAATCTTATACTCCATGTACTCCAATCCCATATCTCTCGCCGGTTTCCCAAAACAAATTTCCCCAAGCCAGTCGATTCCTATTGGTACCACCTGCACTAACACTGACCCAGGCCGAAGGAACAAGAAATGCGTGAGCGCCGCACCGTGCACTCCCATCATCGCATGGCTCGCGTTGATCATCTTGTATGCTTCACTCAGAGACGTATAGCGAGTCGGCTTAAAAACGACGACCTCGAACCCTATCTTCTTCGCCAGCTGTACGACTTCTTTCTGGTTTAAGATCACACGGCTGACACCACCAGTGCGACCCACCAAAACAAGACGAGGACGGGCGGTTGATGGGCTGGAGACGTGGAGATGCTGGTGGTGCATGTAGGCGGTCTGGAGCAAAGCGCGGAAATCAAGGAACGTCTCTTTATTGGGTAATAATGTGGGGTCGATCGTCATAAAACCTTGTGATATGAGACCGACAGTTGCAGATGGGAAGCAATGTATAGCGGTTTCGTTGTCGAGGTTGATGACCGGGTAGGGGCTGAAGCTTCGAAGCAGTTCGGCATACTTGCTAAGCCACCAATCGCGACAATTGGCGACGATAAGGACGGGGTCCACCCCGGAAAAGAGTGAGCGGGTAGTGAGGAAAAGGGGGACGAACCCGTCGCTGAAGTCGTGAAAGAGATTACCGGTGTAGCCACCGGCACTGAAGACAAGCGCTGGCGCATGGTGCTGGATTTGGCAGGAGTCTGTGGAGGGATCGGAGGTGAAGGTGATCTCTTTGATGCCTGAGATGATGCCATTTTCCCATTTCCGAGGGTAGGGACGAACTTTCTCAAAAGTGCGTTGGGGTGGAGAGGGAGAGGTTGTGTCTTGGTGGTTGACGTTGTCGTTAACCAAGGAGAAAGTCGATAAATTTGGGTTCATGAGGGTTGGGGCGTTGAGGGTGCAGAGATCGTAGGGTTCATGAGAGCGGTCGCAAATGATGGGTGTGGCTGGGGCGGCAGGCTTTGATGGGACCGCTGCCGGCCTCGGCCTTGTTTCCACTTTGAGACGTTTTTCAGCTGCAGAGCAAGGAAGGGAAGCGCTTAGAGTCAGGAGTCAAAGAATAGAGCAGACTGCGCATCAAATAAGTTAAAAGACTCTAGGGCCTGTGACAAAACCAACGTGATTGTGACTGAAGAAGATGCGTAAATTGCAAAGCGTCTAGTCGTCTCGTCTGCTTGTAGCTCCTTTGGCATCCGTTGACCCAAGAAATTTTAATTTATTCTAATCTAACGCATTTCGTGCAGAATGATGAATGATCAATTGATAATTCTTCCAACTGACAACCCTCCTTTTGTAATCGAGTGCGTTTAACACTCTCATGACCTAGCGACCTAGATCATTGGCAAGATAATGCCTGGCCATCTGGGGTAATTTTGGTTATGTAAAATATTTAAATATAATATGTATATAGATTAATTTTGTTATGGTGAGTCTTAAACAATAAAATTTAGGCATCATAACCGAAAATTTTGTCACAAATCAAGCGGGTATCATAGATACCATAATCAATAAGATGGTATTTATCAAATTTCACAAATAGGCTTTGATTGGTCTGGCTAATATCTTTTTTGCACCATAGTCATAAATTTTTTCTAAAATTTACTATCTAAATTTTTAAAGTTTTAAAAATTCATGGTAAATTTTAAGATAATATCCAAAAAACAATAAATTGATTTTTTAAACACCAGTATTTATTGATTATGTAAACATGGCATGGTAGTTATATGATGTATCACATCATTATGGTTTTGGTCATAATGTTTCTACTTGATGATGATCGTACTTTGTACATGCAAATCATAAATTTATGGTTCAAACATATTGCATTGTGTGGTTCAAGAAAAATATATTGTCATTTTAGAAAACAAAATGATATAGTTCTCCAACCATAAAATATATTGACATTTATATATATGGATAAATCTATGATTCTCCAAAGGCATGATAATAGAAGAGTTTTTTGACCAATCAAAACTCCCTGTGAATTTTGAGGAACACCTGATTGGTTACAAATATTATAAAAGTTGATTGGTTATAAGTTTTTCCATGGTGAACACTTTTCAGAACCATGAGGCAAACACCACCTAATGTAACGGGAGTTGACCGATCATGGTATCGCAAAAGCGTGATTTATGTAATTATGTTAGAGACGGTTACGTGTGTGAAGAGAAAAGAAGGAAATGGAAAAAGGTAAGTGAAGAGAAAGAAGAAGCTTGATGGTTCGTACCTGCAGGAGTTGATCTTCTCAATGAAGATGTCGAAATAAAGGAGGAGATGGTGATTTGGTGAATGTAGAGTAAGGTGAATAAAAGGATGCATATGGACATGATCAACGGCGTCACACACCCTCTCTTCATCTCTTGCGGAGTCCAACTCAACTATCTAGATCAAAATTGAAAACTAATGCTCACAAAAATCAAGTCTTAGCCTTCAGTCCCCGGTCCTCGCCTTCGATTCCGTTGCATTAGTACTCTCTGATCGATCACGCGGATGGAAGTAGACAATCCTCCGTTTTTGCTTCTTGATCTAGGGTTTATCCGTCACCAAAACGAATCTCACTGAGGACCTGAGAAGCAACCCGCAATATTAAGCAAAGGAAAAGTCACAAGCCATGAATAGCGAGATTTGAGAGAACTAATCTCCAATTTCATCAAACGATATCATGATGAATACCTATAGCTAGCCTCTTAATTAGTTCCGTGAGACTATTTAGAAGAGAGGAATCGATAAAAAAACATCAATCAGATATGCAGAGAGGCCTTTTCATCCTGAATCTATGTAACAATCGACTGACTTTCAATCCTACTGCAATTCCCTAAAATTTTAAGCTTACCAATGAAAATATTCCAAAAAGAAAGTAAAGAAGAGAAGGAAGAAATCGAAACCTTTGGCCTCCTTTCATCCTATCATCTACATGTTGAGATAGATGGGAGTGGAGACCACGAGAGAGAGAGAGAGAATGTGGAAGGAGGAGCAATTTTCTAAGGGGCGGCGGAAAATGGAGAGAAACCAGGCGTAGAGGCCGCTTTTGGCGGGGGAGGTTTTAGCATTTGTCCGAAACCAGGAGAGGTTTAAGTATTTATGACGACGAGAACGTGTACCTACATGTGCAACTCCTCACGAGTCATTTCACAGTGAAGGAACCTCATGGAAGTCATGTTCATAGATGGAACAGTCCACCAAAAGTCGTTGGATTGAATGTTCCTTGTCATTTCCCATATATACATATATACTATATATTTTTGATAAAATATTATACTTTATATATAAGATACTTTACTTATATGGAATACAAACATATATGAAAGAAATTATACCAAATCGGTAAGATACCATGCCATACATATTATATAAGTATATACAGTTCTTAGCCGGGTTGGGTTGGATGGGCCTACGGCTTGCTGAATTGGTCTCTGCTGTTCAGAGGGTTTTTTCCAACGACCTCACATGCACATCCCACCGTGAAATGGGAATATCTCTCGTAAATAATAATACATAAGTATGAGAGATGTTCTCAATGCATGGTAGGATGTGCTTGTAAGGTCGGTGTGAGGCACCATGTGTGAGGAGTAGATCCGGTTTTGGGTTTGCTTGTAGAATTGTAAATTGGGTTGTGCCGCTTGTGGCTTGGCCCGAGTTTAGACCAACCTAGTATAGCTCGACAAGATAGCATGCGGGTCGTGCCAGGCCCGGCACGATGGTTCATGTGCCGTGCTGGGCCTAGGGTTTTAGGTCTACAGGTCATGCCACCCACGGTTCGCGTGCCGACATGGCCTATATATATAATATTTATGTATTTATATAATATATAATATATTAATAAAATAAACAATTGTTTTCAATTTTATTATACTAATTTATTTTATTATTGTATATATAAGCAATTGTATACATCAAAATTCATATAAAATTAAAATTTTAAGTTTTTTTCAAATTTTAAATAAATAGGCAAAAATAGCTTTGGCTCAGTCCATGGTCCGACTTGGGCCAAGGCTTGGCCCATGGCATGGCACGGCACGGAACGGGCCCGCACAGCCTTGGGGCTATAGGTTGTGCCAAGCCAACCCCCAAACTTTTCACTGTGTAGGGTGGCACTGCCCGTAACGGCCCACAGGGCAGCATGACACGGCCCGCACTTTGCACCTCTACTTGTTTGGCCCAAGCCTGACCTGCATTATGTGTTGGTTTGATGACTAGGCCGAGCCAGACTTGTGGGCCAGGCAGGCCAGGCTGGGTTAAAAATGATTATTTAGAAAGTTTTCAAATCCAGATCTAATAAAAAGTTCAAAATATTAGACTCGATTCACTTTATTGTCATTAAAATAAAGAAAATTGGCTTCAAAAAATAAACAAATTTTAAAAGGTTTTGAAAAATTAGTTACTTTTTAATTTAAACAAATATAATATATTTATATAATTTTTTTAAAAAATAATTTATTAATATAAACTTTATATTATTAACGGATGCTCAATTCAACCCAACCCAACCCAAGTTTTTTTTTCCCTTTTTTTAACCCGCAATGGGTGAAATCCATTCAATTTCAAATTCAAAGGGTTAACACTTTGTTGCTCTCGTTGTAAAATGAGCGAGAAAAAAACTGCAAGTGATTTATCATTCTAAATCCCGTCGGTCCATTCCCATTGTTATTTCTTATCATTTATCCTTATTCCTTTTCACGTGGAAGAGAAGAGAAACCCATACTGTTTTTTTATTTTTTTTCTTTCTTTTTTGGAAATGTTTAAGATTTTTATATTTTAAACAGGTTGAAGAAATCACAGCCCATGTGTTTAATTCTACTTGGGCGGGCCCAACCCAAGCCCAGACCAACCCAGCCCACAACTTTCATTTATCCTTGTTCCTTTTCACCTAAGCCCAAGATTTCATTTTCTTTTTTTCAGGTTGGACCTGGGCCTATATATAAATATGACACGTGTCAAATTTTAAAGTGTTCATTGACCAGGCCAAACCCAACATGTATGCATCAAATTTAAGTGTGGGCTGGTCTGGGTTGGGAGGATCGGGATTGGTCCGGTGGTCCGGGCTCAGCCCTTCGGCCCAAATCTTAAGGGCCTGGGTTGACCATAAACCCAGTCCAGCCCGCTTGAGTTGCACCCTTAAAGATAATTATGACTGTGAGTAAACTAATCTGGTTTCACGTCTGGTGGAAGTCAACTCAACCGGGTAACTTCAAGTCCATGTCACCATGTCCATATAAGCAAAGATCCGGATCCTAGTATAACCACCGGGTCTAGGTATCATTATATACTACAATGTCTATCAATTACGCACCAATCAGATGCCCTCAAATCCTATTATGTCTTAACTATGGATCCACTGTAGGAGTTGTTACATGCATTGTATCAGTCCGATCCGATTAGTCTAATGCAAACTGATACATTGTATGTGTCATGATACATATTGAATTTTTTTGTTCACAGATCACAATCTCAGTCCTTATTTAATGTGCATTACTGACTCAATTACTTCCTAATTAATTCAATAATTGGTGCAAATTACTATTTCAATGGACCAAACATTGGTTCAATCCGACCAAGTCCAATAATAATTCATTAGAAATGGATTAAGTTCAATCCACTCTAATAAAATCTTTAGACCATTAAGTCTGAACTGGTTCAATTTAATAAGTCTTATTAGTCCATCTATTCTGTTCAAGTTGATTTAGACTTGAATGGGTTTTTATCCAAACCTGGTTCATTGACACCCTAAATAGAAGACAACATATCTGATATCCAATCCTGAAAACAGTCCATCTATCCAATCCTGACAACATACATATTGACAATCTCCATAACTTTTTCGACCTGTACATTATGAATTATTCAATGACAATTTTATGGGGTGTTTGTAAATATGTATGATTCTGTTTTTAAAGAAATAATCAATTCACTTTTTATTAATATTTTTAATATGCATGTTCGGGTTATGATTGATCCGGCCCCAGATGCCACGTGTTGCCAACATGGCCTTTTATCTCCTCGGCCACATCAGCACCGCGCCACCTCCATTGCCCATCTTATCACCTTGGTCACGTTAGCGTTGCGCCACTTCCGCGGCTCATCTTCTCTCCTTCGCCACGTCGGCACCACGTCTTGTGGATAAGCGTGACCAAGACAGGAAATCATCGTATAGATGAGGACAATTCCGCTGGGGATTAGGTCTTATCCCGGAGACCTCAATGTTAACCTCATCCCGACAATCCCAGAAGCCTCATTCGATCAAGACATGGAACTTCGGCTATAAAAAGGTACCTTCTGCTCAAGGTAAAGGATCTAACTCTTGATTTCCGTACCGTTACTCTACTCAGACTAGCACCATTCTCTAATTGCTTGGCCCGACCGCCCCACTTTCCTCGACTAACTTGAGTGTAGGAGTATATACCCTAGGATAACTCCTCAGGCTTTTGACTTTTCTTGGTTTCAGATCTTGGAGTACGACTTCGTCCTTCCACTTCGGTTCCTCTTAATTGGCAAAATTATTTGACTGCGACCTCGGTTCAAGCACTACCTTAGATCGAGCAGCACCAATGGATAATTTTATTTTTTAAATGCAAGCAACTATTGTGTGAGAAGAGTCGATTATTATTTTTTCCCTGATGTTGCTGTTTTTGTTTAAAGAAATAAAGTCATACATGTGGACAAACACCCCCATAGTCATTAGGTTCAAAGTGTTATTAGTGGTTATAAGACTGAAGTGATGATCATTGATCTAGAGAAGTCACATCTGCCCTCCACAGAATGCGTCCCAAAAATGCCCTACAACACATCTCAATCGTGTATTGAGAACATCTTTATGGAAAATAATTCTCAATGCATGTTAACATATTCATGTGGGACGTTTTAGATGTGAATTCAAATCTAGATGCCATATTGGAAGGGCTCTCATGCGGCTTTTAAGTTTTATCTTTGCAGTGGAACCCACTCAAAAAGCTTATAAGCAGCAGTGATTAATAAAAAGTCTGAACTCTGGAAAGAAAATTTTGATCACATATACAACAAATAGTCTTCAAAGCAGCTATCCAAATGCACCCCTAAAAAAACAAGATATTCAAATAAAACCTGTCGTTTGTAATAATGTGATATTTATTTATTTTTTTCATAATTAGACTCATAAAGGCAGCCTTAAAAGTGAAGTGGTATAGACTATAGACAGAAAAATTTAACGACATTTGGTCTATGGTCTCCATTTTTTTAAGAGGAAGTCCCCTCAGCCATGCTTGCACCGGCACATCTCTCTATTAGGCTGGGACCCACCCTGCATGAGATATATGCACATACCATGTTGGGACAGCCTTTTGTTGGGAATAGATCCCACATCAGCTATGCGGTTCTGTTCTCCGAGTTGGGATTTGCTCTCAACAAAAAGCCATTTCAACATGTTCCATCGTGAGCTGTGCTTGGCTATTTATACATCTCAGACATGGTGGGTGTCAGTCTTGAGTTATAATGGGTCCTTAGTCTCGCGGAGAGGTGTACAGACACAGATTAAGTGGGAATGTGTTGGGAGCAGATCTGGTTTCATTTTCTTTAAGGGACACCCTACAAAACTATGGGCCCAAGGAATTTTCTTTTTCTAGAACCAACCTGTCTGTAGCCATGACCGAAGCTCCTCTCATTGCATAATTCATACCCACTTGCAGTTCATTCTCGTATTGGATTCGGATCTTTGATTCTGGAAAAGTTGCTTTATTACCGAAACTCCTCTAATTGCATAATTCATACCCACTTGCAGTTCATTCTCGTATAGGATTCGGATCTTTGATTCTGGAAAAGTTGCTTTATTCTGGTCTCGTTTCTATCCGATCAGTGTCCCCAGGGAACAGTTGTTTTCCTCCTGCATGTCACCTATTGAATGCTCAAAAGGTAAACTTAAAATTGTGTTTACATAATTCATCTATTAGACGTCTTCTCGTGTCAATGCACGCCCAAGCACTCTTCGATGTTTAGATTAGGATTAGTCTGCCCTTTCAAAACAAAACCCAGTTTTGTGGGTGGGTCATGGGTCAAACAGTCTGACATCTAGAGCGAGCCCGATTTGATTCGGGTCAGAAGATGTCCCATTTCTGATTCTGAGATTTAAAAGCTTTCATCCAATCATTCTGTTGGGAATAGGGGATAGGGCAGGACGGGACGGATATGTTGTTTCCACTTACCACTTGCAATCGATGGTGGGCCTGGCCCACTAAGAATCGTACTCTCTCTCTATTCTCTCAGACTCAGAGTCACGGTACAATTGGTTGTGTGCATCTATACTGCAAACGGATGCACGCGTGTGTGTGCCTATCAAATTTATGTGATACTTTTAGTGATTTTTGTCATCTTGGGACGTGGACAAATGTCAAGATACGGATCACAGATTTGTGACACTGCCCATTGATAAGCTTCAGACAGACCACCCCATTTATGTTGCTTTCTCCCTGGGCTGAACCGTCATTTTCCTTTTGTGTTGTTCTTGTTCATATTTTTAATTTCAATTGTAACTGGGTTATGGCATCAATTAAAAATAAAAAACCTTGGTCCTCTTTATAACAAGAGTCTAAGTATACTAGTTAGAACTAAACTAGATCCAATGGGCTTAGGTGGGCTAGGCCCAAGAAGTAGCGTTAAAGAGAGCCTAGACTCCAGAGGGTGTTTGTATGGATAGGCCAACAAATGTGAATTACAAAAAGAAATTGCATGTAGAATGTAGAGTGAGTGACATAATGTCATGGACGGAAAAATGGAGACAATCTCTCGTGATTACTATTTGGAGCAAAGTCTCCAAGTGCTCCACTACCACCAGCTCTCAATCCCTGTCCTTGAATTTAGAAAATCAGCACTACCAACCCTCAACCCTGTTTGGGATAAATGTCCCCATTCCCAGTTTCCCACCACCACACCACACCCTTCCCTTTAAATTCTGACTTTGCATGGGAAGGATTGAACATTGTATTGGATAGATAGCTAGAATATAATTATTAAAGAGTGGAGACGGCAGGATGAAGAATTCTCATGATGAGTGTATAACAACAAGCAAAAGCAAGGATGTTTCGCTTGGGGAACTGAGGGATAGGCTTGCAGAGTTCGCCAGTGTAAGGGGATGGGATCAGTTTCATAGCCCTAGGAACCTCCTCTTAGCCTTGGTAAGTACCCACCACTCCATCACTACTGTAACGTAACTGATTGGTTTCATTGCAGCATCCATCCAAATATTGCATACCTAAGGCTAACACTGATGAGGAATAATCATCACCTTTGTTTTTTAATCTGTACACCTCTCTCTCTCTCAACTGTTGTTTTAGGTGGGAGAGGTAGGAGAACTGTCCGAGATCTTTCAGTGGAAGGGAGAGGTAGCCAAAGGACTACCCAATTGGACTTCAGCTGAAAAGGAGCATTTAGAGGAGGAGCTGTCGGATGTTTTGCTCTATCTAGTTCGTCTAGCAGATGTTTGTGGACTTGATCTTGGACGAGCTGCCCTCACCAAGCTAGTCAAGAATGCTCGAAAGTATCCCGTTGTCAATTCATCGCCTTCGGCAACATCCAACTAGTTAAGTTAGGCTACGTTATTCCCCTTAGTAATCCTTCCGGTCTTAGTTTTGTGCCTCTCTCTCTCTCTACTACTACTAAGTACTAATAGGTAGATCTATGAACAAGTTGTAGCTTTTGCTTTCTAATATAAATGCGTGAAGAAGCATGTTAACTTGTTAAAAACAATTGTATAGAGATCTAGATATGCATTTTTCTCCTGTTTGCTACAACATTTTATGTAGCCATGTTGAAGTTAAAGGGCTATATAAAAATGGGTTATATGTGTTCAAGCCCAATAAACAATGGCCCAGGACGGTAAAGCCCATCGGACTACCTGCCCATGAAAGATTGGACGAATTAGGAATCAGTAGCACAAATTGATCCTTGAGATCGAACCTCAATTAATTCTTTAGTCTGGTTAGTCTAAAAATTTCTTTGTCCTTTCCATTCTAGTTTTCTGTGCTAATTGAGTATATCTTCCATAACTCTTGAGTTGTGCTTATTGTCTCCATGGAGAATCTTCTTGTTCATCGTATTCAAGTGCAATCTGAATGTCATCTTTTTTGTACAAAAGATACGCTATAATGCGTGGAAGTAGTTTATTCAATTGCCTTTGGATTCATCATACGCAATAAACTTTGGCTTCTACGTCCCAGTAGAGAAGAAGAATTATGTGGAGATATGACAGAATGAGTAATGTTGTGATAATAGTGCCCGTTTGGGAAAGCTTTCACCTAGCGGCTTCCCATTTGTTATGGTAGGCTTCTGAATTCGGATTTAGACATTTTGTCCTCACGAGACTTGCAGTTATGCATGGATGAGGAGTGTTGTGAGGACAGTGTGAAGAACAAATTTTGTGAGGACTGAATCCAATCTCCCGGCTTTTACGTCATAGGTGAGTTGCAATACTAGAGCTGTGGTGGTTGAGCACCTGCATTTGGTAGATTCTTAAGAGCAGCTCAATCAAAGCTGAAGGCCTCCCAAACAGGCTCATTGTATTTGTCTGAAGCTGTTCTCAAGTGATTAACAGACTCCGTTCATCTATCCCCAATATAATTGAACTCAGACCACATCCGAATATCCGACAGGTCCAATGGATTCAAGTTCTATGTGACCATCTAAGATTTTATAAGACTATGTATCAAACTCGGATCAGGTGACTTTTATGGGATTGAATTCGTACACCCGATCCGAATCTGATCCGATTACAACCTAGACTCTAAAGCGAATAGAAGGCCTCATGATGATGAGAAGGAGTTGGTTTAAAGCATCACTATACTAGTGGACAAAAAAATAGTGTCATTTTAAGCCATACAAAATTACAAAGGCTCAGAGAGAGAGAGATTTGTCCCAGTTTTAACTCAGATTTAGTCCTCACAAAACGGTGTTCACACTGTTTTCGCAGTCACTTCCAATCGTGTATTAAAAATATCTCCATACTTGTATGATTTCATTCATTGAAATATACTCCTAATGCATAGCTGTGGCTGTGAGTATGGTTTGAGCATGGTTTTGTGAGACTGAATCGATCTCTCTCAATTTATACTCTAATTTTTAACATCAAGAGCTTCTACTAACTAGGGGTGTCAATAGATCAGTTTTGGATTGGACCCTGTCCAGTCCAAAATCAATTTGGATGGATTGGATAAACCAACAAGACATATTGGATTAGATCAATTCAGTCCAAAATATTTATTAGATTAGATTGCACCTGGTCCGTCCGTAACAAATTTATATTGGATTGGGTTAGATTAAGCCAATATCTGATCTATTAATATAAGATAAAAATATATATCAATGGGCAGAATTTGGGTTGAAACCAATTTAAATCAAAATGAATTTAAACAGATTAGAGGGTTCAGACATTGAATTGGACTGGTCCAAATTGGTCCAAAACATTTATTGGATTTAACTGGACTTGGTCCATTTATAATAGACTCACATTGGACTGGATCGGATTGGACCAAATCCAGCCCAATTGACACCCCTACTAGTCTACCACTAGCATCCGACCATGCAACACTAGAGAAGATAACCACATAGAGAAGCGAACAGGACATGAATGGCAAAAAATTAAAGAAGCATTGAGTACTGCTATCTCAGGCCACCTCATGGAAATTAACCGATCAACTGTGTTAAGAGTGTTAGCAGTGATTCTAATTTGACCATTCCAAAGTAGTAGAGTTTCTACATTTTGTTCAATTTCATATCTTGTTTCTGTAAAAAAAAAAAACTATTTCTGCATTCTGCCAACAGAGATTATTTGGCCAAGGACTTATGGACTGAAATTTGGGCACTGATGGAATATGTAAGGAGGGGAAAAAGGTGAGGATCTTTTGACCTCCCAACTCTACTCTACTCTGCTGAGCAGCCTGAGCTGAGTTCTGCTTCTGCCATCAGAGGACTGTTGCCTCTCGGGTTGGGTCTCGTTTGGACTCTTTAAGACTTGAACGTACCTGTTCTCTGCTTGCTGCTCATGATGCCTTACAGGATGTTAATTATTGGACTGAGATTGCCTTGAAGATTCCATCCAGGTAGCTCAGATTTCCTTCCGCATTAATTGCTCTTCCTTTACACGGCTCGAAGTTTTGGATTGCGGGAGCCAAAATGGAATTTAGTCTCTTGGGAATTTCAAAATAAATCCTCAAAATTCCTCAAATGATAGCCATTTGATTTCCATGGAATGGCGCAGAATCTGAATTTCAACTCAAGTCCATGGAATAATAAATACGTGGAATTTGGATCATCGCAGCATTGGGAACCGGAAAACAACCACACCATCCAATTTATTGCTACTGTACATGAACATTGAGAGATATATAGAATGCCTTAAACAACTTAAATGCGACTGCGAGCAGTCAGTCAGTCCCCTGGGCTGACCCATCACCCATGTCTCTCTTTGTGGATCAGTGGATGTGATGCTATCAATTCAACGACGAAAGGAAGGAAATCCAAATTCCATGATGGTACACTGTCTTGAAGATCCTCTTAACATGCGCGAGCGCGAGGGACCACCCACCTTAATAAAATCAACTGGGCTACAGACTACACGCTACAGGCCCGTATAAATGGTGTGGGTCCCTTCACCGGTTCGGCAGGATTGAGACCGATCATTTCATGATCCCCTGTCAGACTGGGGCCCAAAACCACCCTGGAATTTCTTTTTCTTTTTTACCGCATATACATGGTGGCGTAAAGCTTCTATATAATTCAGGGCTTTTAATGAGTCAGGGTCTGGCCCGCCGGGTCAGTGGCAGATTTGACTCCGTTAGAAAACACATAAACCCAGACCCCAACCAAGCCATAAGGCTATGTTTGGTTTGATGAAAAAAAAATGAAGGTTTCTTCAGAATTTTCCTCAAATTTCTTAAGAACTTGACTCAATTCTTAATTAGGTTTATAGAATCTTATTTAATAAGACATGATTATACTTGACAAGAAGACAACCCTTTAGCTTAATTTTGATTTCTGACAATAAGCCTACTGATTCTCTTGCCATCGACAATATTACTAAGTTTGAGTCTTAATTAGTCAAAACTGGTAAAACTAATCCAAACCCTCCTATAATCAGAATTCCAAATGTAGGCCCAGAACCAGCTATATTGATAACGCGAACTCAAGATGCAGGGTCAGACCGGTCTTGTTTGTCGGTTTGATTGGGACCATTTACAACCCTATAATTTGTTGGACTCAGAGCAGCCCTGATTACGCTCCCTGTGGTCCAGATCCAAGACAAACTCGTCTTACCAATTTATGTTTCCAGTAAAAAGCTGCTTTCTACACATTCATGATTCACGTATAAAATGGCGATTCTGAGATTTTTTTTTTTTTTTTTCTGGAAAATAGCTGACAAATTTACCACCTGTTCTGACTCAAACCTGCATTTTGACGCTCCGAGATATTCCATTGTATCCCTTGAAACACCCAGTCTACTTGGCAAGTCTACGAGACTTGCCATGTGTCATATGGTCAACAGCCACATCATCTTTTCCACATTGGATATGATGTAACCGTTTTTTGTCACGTACCATTTTTTTTGTGATGTATCGATTTTTTTTTTTTTGGCTAAGTGCCTCGTCATTTGACCTGCTCCCAGGAGAGGATGGTGGAGCTCCCTGGTGGTGAACTGCCTGGTGGTGAGCTACTTGGTGACGAATTCCCTAGTGGTGAGCTACTCAGTGACGAACTCCTTGGTGGTGAGCTGCATGATGACGAGCTCCCTGGTGGTGAGCTGCCTGGTGACGAGCTCCCTGGTGGTGAGCTACCTAGTGACGAGCTCCCTGGTGGTGAGCAGCCTGGTGACGAGCTACTTGGTGACGAGCTCCCTAGTGACGAACTACTTGGTGACGAGCTACTTGGTGACGAATTGCCTGGTGACGAGCTCCCTGGTGGTGAGCTACCTAGTGACGAGCTCCCTGGTGGTGAGCAGCCTGGTGACGAGCTACTTGGTGACGAGCTCCCTGGTGACGAACTACTTGGTGACGAGCTCACTGGTGGTGAGCTACTTGGTGACGAGCTCCCTAGTGCCGAACTACTTGGTGATGAGCTCTCTGGTGGTGAGCTACTTGGTGACGAGCTCCCCGGTGGTGAGCTGCCTGGTGACGAGCTCCCTGGTGGTGAGTTACCTAGTGACGAGCTCCCTGGTGGTGAGCTGCCTGGTGACGAGCTACTTGGTGACGAGCTCCCTGGTGGTGAGCTACCTAGTGACGAGCTCCCT